CGCCTTCGCCCGCGGCGCGCCCCACATCCCGACGCCCCGCTCGCGCTCGCTCGCACGCCGCGCTCGGCGCCCTCGGCGTCATGCCCGACCCATCGGACGACAGAGACCGGCCGAGACCCGGTGCGTTCGGCGCGAACCCGTTAAGTTTGTCCTTGGGACAGTCTGAATTCAATCAGTGGGCCAAACGTGCGAAAAACCAAGACGCCGCGCCGATCAACGGACGAAACGGCGCGCACGGACGCCCAAACGCGAGCGCGCCCGCGTCGTCGTCGAACGCGAGAGATGTGGGGTCGAGAGACGGCCGGGTGAAGACGCGGTATAAGACGCCGTACATGACGACGGATGATCTGAAAAAGGCGCCGCGGGCGTGGAGAGAGTTTCTGTGCACGGATCACCTCATGAAGTCGTACTCGATCCCGACGAACGTGGATGATGCGAGGGAACGATTGGATGGGAACGTGTACGATTACGTGGGGAATTACGCGCGGATGGGGGTGATAATTGGGTGCGCGGTGCTGTATAGGAATCCGACAGCCGTCGTGGGCGCGGTGGCGACGGCAAAGTTGTACAGATGGATGGATCTAAACATCGGGGCGACGAGCGAGATGCAAGGGTTTAAGATGGTTGGGACGGTCTTAGCGTGGTTTGTCATGATGTACACCAAGGCGTCGGCGGCGCTGTCGAAGACGGTGTTGCTTACGGCGGCGTTTTTGCTTGTGCACGGATGTCTCCGAAGGCGAGACGCGCCGAAACTGGTGAAGATTGGGCGACACACCGGGATCTCCAAGTGGGAGATGCAATCGCCGAAGAAGAAATCGAGATAGATGTAGTTTAGCAAACTAACGAGGATTAGCCAGCCGGGAAGCGCCGCGGGAGCGCCCGTCATTTGTGATGAGACTTCCAAAGTCGCGTCATCGTACGCGCGAACGCCTCGGGAACGACGCGTCACTCTTCGACATGCCGCGCCTTTCGACGGCGATCTCCGAGAGCGATGCACCGACGCGTGCGCCATCGACACCACCTGCGCGAAAAGAGACGAAGCCGATTCAAACAGATCTCGACCGCGGAGAAAAGAACTTCCACAGATTGTATACTACCGACGAGGATGACGACCAACCCACCAAGTGGGAGTTTAAAAACTCAAAGCACGAGTTCGCACCTCACATAGACACCGGCTTCAACAGAGACGGTACCATCAAGGTTCCAGACTTTGACCCCGAGGTCCAGTGTCCCGGATTCAATCCGCACGATCAGCTGTTTCGTTGGCCCGACGGCGAGCTCCGAAAGGAGTACCCACCGAGGAACCCGTACGTCGTGGCCCGAAGAAGCGCGGTGGAAAAGGTCGTGAGATGGTGTCGATTTAACGACCCGAGGTATAAAGAAAGTGAACATTTCAGGCACCGATACAACGTGGGCGTGCTTTGGTGCGCGCACGCGCGTTACCTCACGGATAAACTTGGAATCCATCCGGTGAGCGCTTTCACATCTCAATACGATTTGACATTTGACAATTCTTTCTCATCGATAGGAAACGAACGACGAGGGTGCGTATTACGGATACGACGAAAAGTATAACGATCCCATTTTGGCGGAAAAGGACGAGCGTCCACACCCCGTGCTCAAGGCTTTCGAACGATGCGGGCTCAGTTACGAAAAATTAGTCGATGAGGACATGCGTCTGTACAAAGAAATGCTCACCAAAAGGTTTGAGGCGGTGCAGCGAGGAGAGGCAGACCGATCGCAGCTTATTAATTTACTACCTCATGGCGATCCGAGTCGGGTCGTGAGTTGGAGAGGCGAAATTGGCGTGCCGGATCCGGCACCAAATGCCCGAACGCGCACTGGTCTCGACGAAGTCGAATGATTCACAATTTATCACGGTGAGCGCGCAAAGGTATCGTTTTAATGCACAAGTGACTAAGATGTTTGAAAGATATTTTGCGATGTCGAGAGACCGACTTTCTCGGCGGCGCGATCGAGCTCCTCGACTTCACTCGGCGTCAAACCCCATCCGAGTGAGCCCAGATTGTCCTCGAGTTGGCGCATGTTCTTTGCCCCGGGAATCGGGACCGTTCCCTTGGCCATGCACCAGTTGAGCGCGACTTGCGGCAATGTCTTCCCACCGTGCTCTTCACCGACGGCGCGCATCGTCGCGAGGAGACCCGGAAGCGGCGGCAACACGCCCTTGTACGCAAATCCTCGAATCCCTGGTGGAGGATTTTCCACGCTGTACTTCCCCGTGAGCAAACCGAGCGCGAGCGGAGAGTACGCGATGAGTTTAATTCCCAGCTCGTCGCACGTCTCTTTCGTGCCGTTGAGCTCGGGAAATCGACTCAACAGGTGATATTGCACCTGCAGCGTCGAAATCGGCACCCCGCGCGCCGACATGTATTTGTGAATCTTCCTCAACTGCTTCGGACCGTAGTTCGACAGCCCCACCGCCCCGATGACGCCCTCCTCGTACGCGTCCGCTATCCCGGCCCAAAGCGCGCCCTCTTGCAAGGGCTGATAATTACCCGTGCTCCAGTGCAATTGTCCGAGCGGAATCTTATCCACCTGTAATCGCTCCGCACTCTCCTTCGCCGCCTTGACGAAACTCCCACTCGTCACGCGCCACGGAAACGGCGCTAGTTTTGTGGCCAATATCACATCCTTCGCCTTCTCGCTCGGACACTGCTTCAAAAACTGCCCCAGCAAAACCTCGCTTCGTCCGTCGAACCCGGCGCCCGTGCCGTAACTGTCCGCCGTGTCGAACAATCGCACCCCCGCGTCCACGGCGCGATTAAACACCCGTCGTAACTCCGGGTCCATGCTCTCATCGTACTCCTACGATTCGCGATCGATGCGTCAGTCACACGACGCCCGTCTCGCGTCGTCCCATCCGTCGCGTCCCGCGCGCGCGCCCGCGATCAATCATCCACGCGTCACGACGCACCCAAACCGCGGTGTTCCCCCACGACCACGTCCCGATCCCAAGACGACCGATCTCTCGCAGCGGCGCGCCCGTGGACGCGCCCGTCGCCCGCGCGCGCCCCCCCGTCGCCGTCGAGGCGATGATCACCGATGCCGTGCCGACGAGCGCGTCTCGTCGACCGACGCGCCCGCGTTCGGGCGCGCGCGACGCCGACGCCGACGCGCGAAAATGCGTTCGAGCGCGCGCGCGACCCGACGCCCGCGCGCGCGATCGCGCGAGCGCCATGTCGAGGATTCACGCGCGGTGTCCCGCGCGCGGCTTTTTCACCGTCGCGCGCGCGGAAGAATCGCGCGACGGACGCGACGCGCGCGCGCGAACGCGGACGCGCGCGCGCGCGAGGGGCGACGAAAAATATCCCTCGACCGTCGCGCGCGTCGTCGTCGACGCGCGTCGATCGCGCGCGTCGACGTCGGCGCTCGGGGGAACTAAAGCGTCGCGGCACTCGACGACGCATCGACGGACGATGACGTCTCGATCGAGCGCGTTCCGCACGCGCATTCCCAGGGCGTCGGCGTGCGTGCGGCGGGAGGCGATGGACGCCGCCGCGGTCGACGTCGACGCCGCGATCGGACGACCGAGTGGGAAGGAGAATGCGTCGATGACGAAGCGAATCGACGTTTCGTCAAAGAAAAGGCACGCCGACGACGTCTTCGCGAGCGATCGAGGGGAGAAGCGCGCGCTGGTGGCGACGACGACGAGTTCGGCGCGATCGGTGGCGCGGGAGGGAGGGGACGGGGCGCGGCGGCGATCGGACGCGAGCTCGGGGGCGGTGACGCGCGCGGACGCGGACCCGGCGGACGCCGAGCTGGAGGCGCTGCTGACGAAACATCCGCGCGGGAAGGATAAGTTTGATAAGATTGGGAAAGCTCGAGCGGCGGATGAATATCTGGCGGAGTTGAGACCGGCGGTGCGAGCGGCGATGTCGCGGGCGATGGATCTACGCGTGGAGTTGGCGAACGCGGAGGGGAAATTTGAGCGCAAGTCGCAGGCGATACGCGACAAGCTGAGAGAAGTTGAACAAGGGAAGGCGAGCGTGGAGACGCAGTTAAGGGAGGCTCTGAGGGAACAAGAGCGATTGGAGGTAGAAGCCAAGCGCTCGGCTGAGCTCGCGAGGTCGAGCGATCGGGCGAAGGGCGAGGCAGAGCGAGTGAAGAAGGAAGCGTTGGAAGAGGCGGAACGCGCACGCGCCGAGGCGGACGCGGCGACGACCAGAGCGGATGGATTGAAGGACGACGTTGAACGTTTGGAAGGAGAAATCGTCGGTCTGAAGCGATCGCTCGCCGAAATCACGAAGGAGATGGAGGAAATGAAGACGGCGAACGTGTCGCTGCAAGAAGATAAATCAAAGCTCACGATGGACATCGGAACGCTTCGAGGGGAGAAGAGCGGGTTGGAAATGCAAGTCGAGGCGTTGCAACAGCAAGCAGTAGAGCATGCGAACGAGCGCGAAACCATGCGCGAGGCAACAGACCGTTTGCACAACGATCTCGCGAAGACGCGCGCGGAGAAGGATGGAAGCTCTCAGGCGATGACGCGCGCACTTGAGGATGCCGTCGAGGCAAGAGCCAAGGCGGCCAAGTGCGCGAGTGAAGCCGAGGCCGCGGGTGAGCGCGCTCGGCGAGCTGAAGACGCGTATAATCACGCGACGGCGGATTTACAGCGCGCGAGAAACGAACGGAACACGGCACAAGAGCAGATCAATACGCTCAACACCGAAATAGAGTTGTTAAAGCCACAGCTCGCCGCGGTGGAAGAAAAGCTCAAGACGAGCGCGAAGCGCGTGGAAACGACCGAACGTGAGCTTCGAGCGACGACGACGTCGAAAGAAGCTCTCGATTCCAAGGCCGAAAATCTCACTGAGGCGTTGCGTCTCCTTGAGCGAAAGATGACGATGCAGATAGAACGTGCAAACGCCGCTGACCTTGAGTGCACTCGTCTCAACGCCGAGCTCATCGCCGCTCGAGCGAGTAAAGACGCCCTTGATCCAAAGCTTTCAAAACTCGGAAACGAACTCGCCGACGCTCAGGCAGAGGCGAGACAGCTGAGACACGAAAAGGAGCGCATGGAGAATGACATCTCATCCATGAAGCACGCCGCGCAGTCTCTTGAAGGCGAAAATGCGAGACTCAAATCCAAATGTAGCACGCTCGCGATGGAGAGAACGACCTTGGAAGAGAGACTTAACTCCGAGGTGGAGCTGCGCAAGGGATTCGAGGAAGATCTGCGTCAATCAAAGAAACTTCTTAGCAAGGCAAATCAGAGTGCTGCTGATGAGCGTGCCAAAGCCATGGCGGCGCAAGACGCAATCGAGGACGCAAACTCGGTTAGGCAACAACTCGTCGCACTTCAGCAAGCGCATACCACGCAAGGAGATGAAATGGCTCGATGCAAGATGGAACTAGCGAACATCGTTAGCGATGAACGTAGCACTTCTCAGCTCATTGCTCGTTTGCAAGAGGTGAAGAATGAATTGGCATCTCGTGAAGAGGAGCTTCGCCAGGCGCTGATCACGCGACGACACTTGCATAACACGATTCAGGAACTTAAAGGTAACATTCGCGTGTTCTGTCGAATCAGACCGCCTTCTGAAACAGAGAACTCGTTCGGAGATGACAACATGCGCGTCGATCGCAAGGGCGAATTTGCAGGGCGCAGACTTGAGATTGCTCCACCAGATGCACCAAAGAAGTACGATTTCACCTTTGACCGCGTCTTCGCGAAGAACGGTGATCAGAAAGAAGTGTTCGACGAAGTGTCTTTGCTCGTGCAAAGCGCTCTCGACGGGTACAAAGTGTGCATATTCACGTATGGCCAGACGGGTAGCGGTAAGACGTACACAATGCTCGGTGGAAAGGGCGACGAACGCGGTCTGATCCCGAGATCCATGGAGCAAATATTTGCCTCTCAATCGTTGCTCGAGAAGAAGGGAATGAAGGTGTCGATCACCGCCACTCTACTCGAGATTTACAACGAAGACATCAGAGATTTGCTCACCACTGCTTCCGGAAAAACTGAACACAAGATTAAGCACGATGATGAAGGAAATACGCACGTGACGAACGTCACCCAGTGCGAAGTCTTTTCCCCTGCAGATGTCGAATCTCTCATGCAGCAAGCGAACGCGGCTCGAGCGGTGGCGAAAACGAATATGAACGACAGAAGCTCGAGATCACATATGGTGATGAGTCTTTGCGTCGACGGGGTCAACGAAGCCGGCGAACCAATCCACGGCGCACTCAACTTGGTTGATCTCGCCGGAAGCGAGAGACTGAAGACGACCGGCGCCACGGGCGATCGTCTAAAGGAGGCGCAAGCGATCAACAGCTCCCTCTCGAGTCTTGGTGACGTCATTTTCTCACTGGCGAACAAGGATAAGCACATCCCGTTCCGAAACAGCAAGCTGACATATCTGCTGAAAAACTCCCTCGGCGGCGATTCTAAAACGTTGATGCTGGTCAATGTGTCGCCTGCTTTAGAAAGCGCTCAAGAAACCTTGTGCTCTTTACGCTTCGCGTCCAAGGTGAACACGTGCGCGCTGAAAAGCGCTAAATCAAAGTCTTCCAAACCAAATTAGACGACGAAGACGACACCTGGCGCTGTATAAAAAAATGTTTGTCTGAACATCGATACCGTACATGTCAATGATACAAAGCTCTATTGTTTCCTGGATCGTACACTACATCGACGTCGCGCCCATTTCCAGGGCTGCGACGTTCTCGCGCGCGAAGTTGGCGACCTCTTGCGCGGTCGCCCGTTTTGCCGGATCAAAATCCAAGCATCCGGCGATGAGCCGCGCGAGCTCCGCGGACCTCCCTTCCGGAAGCGGAGGAATCGCCATGCGTGGCGTGGCACCCCTGGGGAATTTCAGTCCGCTCGCCACTTCGTACAGCGTCACTCCGAGTGAGAATACGTCCGCGCTCGGCGAGGGATACTGACCCGGAAACAGATTCAAAAGCTCGGGCGCGAGGTATCCGCCGTCGCCTTCTTCCCAATCCCAACCGCTCTCCATCACGTACGCCAGGCCGAAATCTCCGATCTTACACGTGCCACTCACGTCGATGTAAATATTATCAGGTTTTACGTCGAGGTGAATGATCCTATGCAAATGCATGAATGCCAAACCGCTCGCCGTTTGCTCGGCGAGTCGCCAGACGTCCAACTCGGCGACCAACGTTTGCGGCGGGAGACGCGCAAAGACGCTCGTGAGCGAGCCGCACGCACAATGCTCCATCTGAATGTAAAAGTGCTGATCTTGCTGCCACGAGCGGTAATAGCGCACGATGTTCGGATGCTCTGGAAGTAACGCCGCCGCCTCAACCTCGCGTTTGTATTTCGCCCGTTGCGCCTCGGTGGTGAACGAGTGCAAACACTTCTTGACCACGAATGCATTCCCACTCACCTTGCTCGTCACCAACCAAACCTCAGAATTTTGAGACGCCCCGATCTGCTGCTCGAATCGAAAGTGATCGTCGAAATCGAACTGCGCGTCACCGCTCACAGACGTCTGCCGAACCAAAAGCGTCGAAGTCAACACCTTTGTCTCTGCGAGCGAGTTCATGCGCGACAGTTGCCCGATTTCATCTGATCGCTTTGAGCCCATCGAACTACTTCCGCTCCCCACGCGCTCGAATGCACCGCTCCGATTCCCGAAAGATCCAAACAACCCGCGCGTGCGCCCTCTCCCGCTCGTCTTGCCCAGACCGTCTCCCTCCTCGCGCTCGCTCGACGCTCTCGGAGGCTTTCCGATGTCCCGGCCGAACACCCTGAACATCGGATGCCCGTCGCCATCGTGATCACCAACGCCACGCCCGTCGTCGAAATCAAACTCACGATCGAACGTGTTTTCCCGATCGAAGTCTCCACTCCTCGTCTTCCCGCGTCGTCGACGAACCTCCACGCTGTTCGCGCTCGCGGGCGCGTCCGCTGGAAACGCTCGCACGTCCCAACGCGCCGCGTGATCCACCTCCTTCGCGAACACGCCCAACGCGTCACCCCGCGGCGTCGTCGGTTCCTCCGGGCTTCCGATCGCGCTCGCGTCGCCCTCGCGCGTGCGCTCGTCCGACCAATCGGGAGAGTTTTCACTCAGAGGAGAGATTGGTTTCAACAAAACGGACAACGGAGACGTCTCGAAACGTTGCTTCGCGGGCGTCTCGCTCATTTTTAACGCCGGTGAATCCTTCACATCGTTATACGCCACCAGGGGCACCTTTCGTCGAGGCGACGGCGCCATCAATCGCGCGCCCGCGTCGCGATGTGTCGAAATGTCCATGAATTTTCACCCGATGGGCAAAATTTGAAATTTCAAGACGTCACTCAGTCACGCTCCACGACCGCGTCGCGTCCGCGCGCCCGCGTGATGACGTACACCAAGAAGAAGTCGAAGCACTTTACGTTTCGGAGCGATTTACGATGCGACGCTCGCACGTTCATCGACGATAAGGACACGGATGCGTACAGAGCGTTTCACATGAAGCGAGTCGGGACGCGAGAGTTGGAGATTATGAGCGATATATTGGATCCAGAGAGCGGCGAGCGGACGATCGTGATCAGAACCGTGCCGGGGATCAAACTTCCAAAGTTGTTGCACGGGTTCGTCCCGAATGGAAAGGTGGAGTTCATCGATACGCGGACGTTTGCGGATGGAAGCGAACACGAAGTGCCGTTCGCACAGGATTTTACGACTGTGAATAACATCACGAAACACAGTGTAGTGCGAGGGACGATCACGATTAGGGCGACGGGGGAGAATACGTGCGCTGTGGACGTCGTGGGGGAGTGTCAGGTGGCTTTGAGGGGCGTAGGGGGGTTGATTGAGAACATTGTAGTGGATGGGATTCGAAAGTCGTACGAGTCGTTGCCGGCGATCGTGGACGAGTGGATGGAACACAAGAAGACCATCATCGATACAAATAGAAAGAGTAGTGTGAGCGAAGAGAAGCCGCGGGGTATGGGGTTCGGGTTTCGGATTCCGAAGACGGTGAGCGTCGATTCTTTTCACAGCGCGTGCGAGGACGCGAGGTCGCCATCGATCGTTCTGCGTGACGAAGCGAAGGCGAAAGAGAGCGTGCTCGTAAAATCCAGGCCGCGCGCTAGGACGTTTCTTGTATGCTGCGTCTCCAAGCCCCAGGTTGGGGACGTCGAGGAGTTCACGGACGCAGAGAAGAACCTGAACCAGTCTTCGGCTCGGAAATCGTTCGAGCGCACAAATACCGTGTTTTACTCCTGCCGCGATCTATCCGAATCGTCGTGATCGATCGAGGGATAAACGTGTTCGCAGAAATACGTAGCGAGCTTTGATTCTATTTCTCGCAATTATTAGCCTATCTAGTTCCCGCTCGAGGACACCAATCGCTCGACGGTGTCGACTCGATCGAGCCAGGCGGCGATGAACGCGGCTCCTTGAGAGGAATATTTCTCGTGTAAGAGCTCGTGCGATCGACATAGCGCGCGCGCGTCGTCCAACACTGCGCTGAGTCCACTCGCGCCTTCTCTGAGATACGACCGTCGTGCGTGCGCGAGGATGACATCGGTTGCGCTCGAGGTGGCACGCTTGGCATACTCATCCTCTCCATACGTCTCACGACGACGCTTCGAGAGACTCAAGCGCGTGAGCTCGTAACTTTGCCATGCGTACGCGCGTGCGGCGGAGGCGAACGCCTCGCGCATCGATCGTCCCAAATCTGAATCGATCTCGGCTTGCGAATCGTTGAAGAGAGCAAAGTCACATTCGTTTTGCGTCAACTCCTGCGTGTTCGCGACATCTTCTTCACCCTGTGTCTCTATCACGTCCTCATCGCTTGTCTCAGAATCTAGTGTTTCATCGTTGAGTTCTGCTTTCGCCTCGGGTTCGTCGCCGCGAAACATCTGGAAGAGCGTAGGTTGTCTCTTTGAAGTGGGGGACGCGACACCGTTTTCACCCTCGAGCTTGTTGACGGAGACACCAAGACCACGAATGAGCGTGGCTTCGACTCTGAGTTCCCGCAAGAGTGATAAGGCCTCGTTCGCGACGATTTCTGTGTCATTACTTACACGCAACATCGGTTTCGAACGCGTCAAGACATCGCACGCGCCGTGACCTTGATAATCGCGCTTCGTGCGCACATCTGGAATCGCTCGCCACACCTTGAGAAACATTCTCCCGCCACGAATCTTCAAGCGCTGCATGCGCTGCGAGACCTCGTTCGCGAGCTGACGCACAAAATCTTGCGCGATGTCATCCGTGGCACATCGCACGCCCCACGACATTTGAGCCCCGACTGATTTGCGCTCCGGACGAACGCGCCACGGAGTCTTGTCCACGCCTCGCGCGGCGTCGAGTAACTTCTCCGCCAACTTACCCCCTATCGCACGTCGCACGTCATCCACGGGCACGCGCAATAGCTCCCCACATGTCTTGGCCCCGAAAACTTCTAATTTCTTACCCGCCGTTCGTCCCACGCCAGGAATGTCCTCCACTAACGTCGCCGCGATGAACGCCCGCTCCATCGCGGGCGCCACGAAAAACGTCCCATCCGGCTTGGCCCTTCGCGTCGCCAACCGCGCCAACAACATGTTCGACCCGATCCCGACGCTACACGAACATCCGGTTCGCGCACGAACCTGTCTACGAATCTCTTCCGCCACCTCCAACGGATCCTTGCCTTCTCTCGCGCTCCGCTCGCTCGCGTCCACGTACGCCTCATCGCAACTCACGCCGACCACCTCCCCACCCGATATCGCCCACAAGATCTCGTACACCTCCAGAGCCGTCGCTTCGTACGCGGAGAAATCGTACGGGAGCGTCACCAAGGTCGGACACGCTCGTAAGGCTTCGTCCAACCACATTCCCGCGCGGACGCCGAACGCCCGCGCGCGGTAGTTGCACGAGCTGATCTCCCCTCTCTGGCTCTTCGTCGTCCCCCACGTCACCGCCACCGGTTTGGACCGCAGCTCTTCATCGTTACGCGTCGCCACGGAGGCGAAGAAGCAGTCCATGTCGACGTGCATGATCACGGGCGGGTGGTTTGGTTTCTTCTTGAGGAGATTCTTTGCGGACGCGGACGCGTCGGACGTCTTCGCGTCAAGGAATTCTTCGTATCGCGCGCGCCAACTGCCTATGAAGTGGAGACGGGAGTTCTGATGGAAGGTCTCGACGCGTTTGGATGTCATCGAGGGGATGAGAGCTGGGGAAGGGGGCGTCGGGGTGTGACGCACAAATTGATTGCGTTACCAGGGCGCGCGAACGCGCCGCGTCTTCTAATCTCGAGATGTCTTAGTCCTCTTCCACGCCGTCGAACTCCTGCTTGTTCGCCTGGGCGTTGTAAAAGTCGGCCACCTGTTCGGCATTTGTCGCCATTTCGGGCTCCTTATCCTCTCGACGACGTAAGAAGCGCGGGAAGCGAAGCGCGATGCCCTTTTGCGGATCAACCAAACCGCGCGCGGCTTGGTGCACGGGCGAGATGGATAAATCCGCCGCCTTGACCTCCCACACTTGCTTGGGTTCGAACCACACGTCCGGTTTCATGGCATCCGACACTTTGTAATACGAACGCGGGGCGTCGATGACGTGCGGATTCATCGCATTCGCCAACTCCTCGAGGACGACTTCGGAGAAACCGGTGCCTATTTTGCAGATGGACTGGTACTCCTCTCCATCTTCGTCGTAACATGCGAGCAAGTAGGCGCCGTAGACGCCCGTGCGCTTGCCGCGTCCGACCCAGGCGCCTATTGGAACCAGATCCAAGGAGTCCCCGCATCCTTCCATGTAATCCTTCTTGAGTTTGAGCCAGTTGAGAGATCGCTTGGACGGCTCGTACGTGGCGTCCAGCGTCTTGACAATCAACCCCTCGGTGTTTGCCTGTATGGACTCGTCCAGGAAGACCTGTAACTCCTCCACGTCTCGAGAAGTCTTCTCAGTGACGAAAAAGAACTCACCCGGGACCTCTTCGAACGCGCTGTACAGAGCCTCGCGGCGCTTGCTCATCGGTTCGCGCAGGAGCGGCTCGCCGTTGAGGTACAGGCAATCAAACGCGTACAACGCAACTTGAACCTTGATCTCGGACTCAACGATGTTCTTTTTCCCGCGCGTGCTCAAAATCTGGAAGGGCAAGATTTTGTCCTGCTCTCGATCGTACGCGACGGCTTCGCAATCGATCACGACCGATTTTACGTGCGGCTTGATGTAGCGCTGCAGCCCGCTGATGAGATCCGGAAACTTGGCTGTGTTGTCCTCTTGGTTGCGCGAGAAGATTGACACTTTACCATCCTCTTGCAGGTGAATCTGCGCGCGTTCGCCGTCGTACTTGTACTCACACGTGAACGCGATGTCTTCGAAACGCTTTAAGACCTCCAATACACCCGTGGTGGGCTTGGCAAGCATCGGTTTCACGGGAACGCCTGGAGTGAATTTGCATCGCTCGGGTAGTCCCTCGACGCCCACCTCGAGAAGCGCAGGTACGATCTCGTCGAACGACGGGCACTCGCTGAATACTTGCTTGAGCGTGTCGAACGCCGCACCGAGCGCATCGGCGAGATCGGCACCCTTTTTCGTTTTACCGGCTTCGCCATGGAGCACAATGGCGTGCGCGAGCGCCATTGTAACCGTCTGTTGGGCAAGACCGATGCGCAGCTTGCCCTGAAGCGAGCGAATGACGTATCCCGCCTCGCACTCACGCGCGGACACGAGAAGCTTTTTGATGAGTGCCTTCTTTCTATCGACGCTCTTCTCTCCCTCTGTGGTGGCAATGGTACGAAACTCCTTAAGCACGCCGCTCACTGTCAATGGCGGAGGAGGAAACATCATGCGCTGCGTCGATCGACTCGCCATGGCCACCTTTCCGAGATCGCCCGCGTCCCTATAATCGTTCTTGATCGACTCGTCTTTGCGCCCCGTGGCCTCGGCCAGGGCTTTGATGAGCGTCGCGTCTCCGATTCCCAAATCGATCCCTTTGTGCTGTGGATGAATCGTGTTCGACGCCAGATACACCGCCGCCAACAAATCCCCCGGTCTGCTCGCCAAAATCGTTCGGAACGCGTTCGTCAACAACTCCGCAATCTCTAACCGCTTCGTCGTCTCCGATATGGACTCAAACACGTTCGCGAGGTATAAATACGGCGTCGGATCTCCGCGCTTCCACGTAACCTTTGACTCGGCGTCGTACTCTAGATATCGATCCGCCGCCTCAACCGACTTATCTCCGACCCCAGCTGTCGCCGCCTCCTCCTTCTTTGCCTTTTTCGCCTTTTCCACTCGCTTCATTTTCCCCACGTTCGCCTCACCGATCTCCACGTCCTCGATGTCGTCCTCATCGTCCTCCGCCTCTTCATCATCTTCCGAATCGTCATCATCCGTGTCTTCCTCCTCCATCACCGTCTTCGACCGCGCGCTCGCCGATCGCTTCCGATGTCTCACCAGCGCCTCCTCGTCCTCCTTGTCCACGTCGTCGTCGCGCACGGACGGTTTCACGGGTGATTTCGTTTGATTCTCCTTTTGAACATTTTGAACGCCTCGCGTCGTTTCATCGTTCTCGTCGTGCGATTTCGTCTCCGGTGACGCGTGCTCGGGCACGGCGGCGCCCGTGACGAACCCGGCGAGCGTTTTTTGCCCCATCGCCGGCGAGCGACGCGTCGAGGACGACGTGGAGTGACGCGTTGTGATCATCGAGATGCGGTGCGACAGCTGGTGGTTTGTACGCGCGCGGAGGGACGGGCGGGGAGTACAACATGCGGTGCGGGCGTTACAACTCGCGGACGCGGGTATCGCTACATCGTTTATCCCTCCTCGCCGAATTCCTTGGTGAATCGCTCGTGGATCTCGAGATCGGCGGGAGCGACGGTCGGACGGGCGCGTAAGAGCACCTTGCGGAAATCGTTGGCGGTGATGGGCGGTGGGAGCACGCGCGCGGCGTATCCCAAACGCGCGAGTTCTTCGAGCGACGAGGGCCACGAACCGGGTTCACCTGGGGAACACGGGACGTAGTACTCGTCCTGGGCGTCCGTGCCCGTGGGCGCGTGCGCGGGGTTCTTCACGGTGATGAAGTGTGTCGCCTCTTGGACCTTGCGCACGGGTTCGTACAGGACATCCTTGACGACGTGGTCGATGTCAGAGCCGCTGAACCCTTCCGATTGTGCGCCGAGCATCTGATAATCCTCATCCGTAAGATCGCTCGGGGTCTCGCCGACGTGCACGCGAAAGATGTGCGCGCGCGCAGCCTCGTCTGGGAGTGGGATGTAAATTCTCTTGTCGAATCGCCTTCGCACCGCCTGATCGAGCGAGTACGGTGTGTTCGTCGCCGCGAGCACTAAAACCTTCCCAGCCGAGCTCCCAACGCCCTGCATTTGAACTAATATTTCCGTCTTGATTCGTCTCGACGCCTCGGATTCGCCGTTCTCTCCTCTAGCACCGCAGAGGGCGTCGATTTCGTCGATGAAAATGATGGACGGCGCCTGCTCGCGCGCGAGCGCGAAGAGCTGCGACACCAACTTTTCGCTCTCCCCCATCCACTTGCTCACTAAATCGCTCGAAGAGATGGAAAAGAACGTCGAATCCGCCTCAGTGGCCACGGCCTTTGCGAGATAGCTCTTCCCCGTACCCGGCGGTCCGTACAACAGAAACCCGCTCCACGCCTTGCGTTTTCCCGTGAAAAACTGAGGAAACTTGACCGGCAAAATAACCGCCTCCTTCAGCGCATCCTTCGCCCCCTGCAATCCCGCGACGTCGTCCCACTTCACGTTCGGTTTTTCCGTCACGATCGCCCCCCCCAGCTGTCCCTTCATCTTCGCCAGCTCCCCGTCCGCGTCGCTCGCGGCGCCCTTCGGCTTTTGCGCTCCGCTCGCGCTCGTCCCGCTCACCTCCCTCCCCTCCTTCTGCCCACGCACGATCTTCTGCAGCTCCTCCGCCCGTTCGAGGTACTCCTTATACTTCCCTCGCACCGTCTCCGCCATTCGCGCGTTCTTCTCGTACTTTAAATACACTCCAAAGTGTTCCAACGCCGTGAGATAGAGCTTAAACGCCGCCTCGTACTCCCCCCCCTGATCCTCCCGCACCGCCTCCTTCACGTACGCGATCGCCTTATCACGAATCGCGCTCGCGCCCTCCATGACGCCCGTCGTCCGTCACCGCGCCCTCGAGCGCGCGCGCGCGCGGACGACGACGCCCGCGCCGTCGACGCGTCGATCGTCCGTGGACGTTGATTTCTCCCCAGATCCCACCCCGCGTCGTCACGCCCGCCACCGCGCGTTCGCGTCGCGCGCGCGCGCGGCGATGCGACCGCGCGTGCGCCTCGGTCTCGCCCGCGCGCGCGCGCGTCGCGACGCGTCGGCGATCTGTGCGGCGTCGCGTCTGGATGATGTCGATGTCGCCCGAGACAGTCGCTCGCTCGAGACTGTTTGCGCACACACCGTCGAGACAGTCGCTCGCTCGAGACTGTTTGCGCACACACCGTCGAGACAGTCGCTCGCTCGAGACTGTTTGCGCACACACCGTCGAGACAGTCCATCGCTCGAGACTGTTTGCGCACACAAAGCACACACCTCGCGCGCGTCGCGATCATCCGTCGCGCGCACGCGCGCGCGCGCGCACACGCCCGCGCATGAGCGCGCTCAGACGCACCGCGAGCGCGCTGGCGCGATGGACGATCGCGCGGCGGGGCGTGCGCACGACGAGCGCGCGCATGGGAGGAATGGGACCGGCGATTGAACCCACCGAGGCGCCCACGCGTGAGGTGCGCGCTTGAACGAGCGCGCGGTTGATGGAGACGCGCGCGACGGCGGCGACGATGGACGAATGATGGCGCGCGATCGCGCGCGCGTGGGATGGCGATGGATGGGGCGGAGATGGGAATTCGGACGACGGGCGCGGACGCGCGGCGTAGGGCGCGGAGCGATCGCGGAGAAAAGGGCGGACGCGACGGTGCGCGCGGACGCGCGGGCGAGGGAGAGGATGTGGGGGTGATGTGTGACTGACGAATGATCGGTGTGTGTGATTTTCGCGATAGATGCCGGAGGAGGCGGAGCTCACGTGGGACGCGGGCGATAAGCATCACGAGCCGGCGCTGGACGACGTCCCGGAACACATCGTGACGAAGAATCGGGCGGCGACGTACTTGGTGGGAGCGTTTTGTTTCCTCGGGTGCGTCTACGGGACGGCGGTGATGGTCGATAAGCCCTCGAAGACGCCGTTTGTGCCGAAGGAGTTTCCGTACAACGGGTTGGCGAAGGAGCTCGGACGCGAGTAGACGCGCTGTAAATCACACTAAAATGAACGGTCAAATCACTCGTCGTCTGACCCGGGGACGTCGACCTCGACATGTTTTCGATTTTTCACGCGCTCTCGAAACATTCTCTGCGCCTCTTCCCACGCGCGTTTTGCCTCGTTCGCCTTGCCGGCGCTCCTGTCGGCGAACGTCGCCGGATCCACCTCCGGCCCTCCGCGCACGCACGCGCGCCACCAGTGCGTGAGCATGTCCGAACCCTTCTTGCGCACCGTCACTCGAACGATTCGTCGCGCGTTCGGCCCGGTTCCCTCGAAATCGGTGATCTCCCAATCGCCGAACTGCGGCGGTTCGCTCACGTCGTCCGAGTCGTTCGCGTCTCGCGGCTCGGGGTCAATCTCGTGCGCCCACTTCTCCGAGAACACCACATCGCTCGTCGAAGACGATGACGATCGATCACTTCCACCGACGACGCCGATCTCGACGTCGGTGGACGTGCACCGAACGCGAACGTCTCTCGCTCGGACGCCCGGTCTGACGACGACGCTCACCGTCGCCTCTCGCGCGTCCTGACACCAAAAGTACTCCCCGACGCCGTCGCTCCCGCCCTCCACCCGAGCACCGTTTCGAATGAGCTTCGCGACGACGCTCGACCAATCCCTCGCGGTCGGCGGCGCATCGCTCGTCGGTTTCGTCGAGCGTCCTTCGTCCGCTCGCGCGTCGCTCGCGCCCGCGCGGTGTCCCGGATCATCCCTCGCGCTCGCGCCCACCGCCGGCCCACGGCGTCCCGCGGCATCGTCCACGTCTCCCTCGACGTCGTCGTCCTCGATCGGCGTCGCCGTCGCGTCACCACCGCCGCCAAAGGTGATCCTGTGTGCGCCTTTGAGTTTCGTCACCGTCGGCGCGCCCCTGCGCCCGCGAGTCTCCGCCTCGTCCTCGCTCGAGAGCTCGATGGCGTCGAAGCGAGAGTAATCCACCATCGCGCGTCGCCCGCGCTCGAGCGCGCGTCCCGGCGCGATGTGCGGCGACGCGTGGCAAAAAGTGCACGATTCCTCGGGGACGCGCGCGCGACCGCACGACGCGACGCTCGAGCGCGCGCTCGATGAAAAAACGACGCGAACGCGACGGTGATGCGAGCGGTGATCGCGGTGGGGACGTCTCGACGTCGACGCGGACGAGCGATGACGTGGGCGCGCGATGGAAGGCGAGGGATGGTGACACGCGGAAATCGAACGGTGAGATGAAACGTCGCGGGTCGTCGAGTAAAGCGGCGAAGCGCGCGAAGGTGTTGGCGCACCTGTCGGTGAAGACGTCGGGGCGAGTGACGCCGGCGTTGAAGGGTGGATTGGCGTTCGGGGACGTGGATGAGGCGGATCACTGCGAGACGCCGTTCCGAGCGTACAGAGACGTCGAACCGTTCCTGTTCGCGATCGCAAAGGCGCTGAAGCGAGAGAAGAAAGATTTGAGGATATACGATCCCTATTACTGCGAGGGATCGATGGTGGAGCACCTCCGAGCGTTGGGATTCGAGAGCGTGTACAACAGGAACGAGGATTTTTACGAAAAGGTTGCGACGAAGACGACGCCAGATTTCGACGTCCTGGTGACCAATCCACCGTACTCGGGCGATCACTTTAAGCGAATCTTGACGTTTTGTCGAGATTCGAACAAACCGTGGCTGTTACTCCTGCCGAATTTCGTGTGCAGGAAGTCGTACTACGAGGAGTGCGTGGGCGAACGCGCGAAACCGCTGTTTCTCATTCCAGACTCGACGAAACCATATAGATATTGGGCCCCGGGTCGGAACGAAGACGGTGTTCGAGCCAAGGGTACGACTCCGTTCGAGACGTTTTGGTACATCGAATTCTCCGGCACGCTCGATCCCGAGGCGCAGCGCGCGTGGTGGCTGAAGAAATACAAGGCGCACTCCACGTGCGACATTCCGGCGCTCGACGAGGCGCTGCCGCAACAACAGAGGCTACAAAAACGCCCGAATCCCGCCGTTCGCGCCGCGATGCGCGCCGAGGGTAAAGTTATCGACCGTCCGCTCGGTCGCGGGATCTACTTCGATCCGGACAAGGCGAAGAAGCAACAGAAGAAGGAACGTTTTTGACGGCGTGTAATACCACCGCGCGTCACACCGCGCCTCACTCGTTTCCATGCTCCGTCGCGCTCGGGGAGCCGCGCGCGCGCTCGCGCGGTATCGAGATGGTCTCGCGCGCGCGTCGCCGCGTCCGAGCACGTCGTATCACCTCGCATCGCGACGAATCGAAAGAGAAACAGTTCGGCGCAACCCCGAAGTGAAAACTTTTTCGAGCGAGAAAACGCCTCGAGCGAGCGTCTCACGAGCCGCGAATGGGCGTCCGAATGCGAAGAGCGCGAAGACGGAAGACGTCGTCGCGTTCGAAGCGAGACGGGCGGTGAAGATGGATCACATCTGGTTCAGGACGTATAACAGAGTGCTCAAACGCGACGCGGAGGCGGCGTGGGGACGGACGATGCGCGAACGATGGCGTAGGACGTTCCTGGACGGAGAGGCGTACGCGGTGGTGTATTGGCATAAATTTTCCGTCGTGAAGACGTTCTGGGATATCGGGGGATGGCCGTTCGGTGGGGTTTTGGTGATCGGCGCGGCGTGCGCGTGGACGGTGGCGAGCGCGCTGACGTCACTGGGCATCGTCGGGTTCGTCGTGGTGGGGAAGATGTTGGGCGTGGGAGATCAAGCGATTAGTGTCATCGAGTTTGTCGCTGGTGGGTGGGAGAGGTGGACGGGGACGGAGGCGAAGCACATGGTGACCGCGCTCACTGCGCTCGTGACGTACAGGACTTCGTATTACACGCTGCCGGTGATTTTATTCACGTACGAAGAGTTGTACCAATTCGCGATGCGATTTCGCACCCTCGTGCGGTGGCTTCGGTAGATTCGATTAGGACTTAGTAACGTAGAGTTGTTGTAGCTTGATTTGATCAGATTAGAAGAATTAATGTTTCTGCTGCTGTTGAGCTTGGCGGTGCATGGATTCGGTCCACTCACTGCCGTCGCTCGACGGACCACCGGCGCCGTACGGCACAAACGCCGGTCTTCCTTCCAGACCAAGCTCCTCGAACAAGAACGCGTCTTCGTCCTTCTCGTTGTTTGGCGTCGTCAAGAGCTTATCGCCGGTGAAGACGCTGTTCGCTCCAGCCAAGAAGCACAGGGCCTGCGTCTCTGGGGTCATGTTGATTCGCCCCGCGCTCAATCTAACGACGGTAGCGGGCATTAAAATACGAGCGACGGCGATGGCACGAACCATCTCCAATCCACTCGGCGGCTTCATATCCTTGAACGGCGTTCCCTCCACTGGAACGAGCGCGTTGATGGGAACGCTCTCGGGATGCTCCGGAAGCGTCGCCAAGACCGTCATCAAACTTGCTCGATCCGCCTCTTCCTCGCCCAGGCCTAAGATACCACCGCAGCACACCGAAATACCGGCCTCGCGCACGGCCGCTATCGTGTTCAGGCGATCCTCGTACTTTCGGCTCGTCGTCACCTTGCCGTAATACTCCGGGCTCGTATCCAAATTGTGATTGTACGCCGTCAATCCCGCGTCCTTCAGCTGCACCGCCTGTTCCGGCGTCAACATCCCGAGCGTCGCGCACACCTCCATCCCCATCTCCTTCACCTCTCGCGTCATCTCCAACACGCGCTCAAACTGTCCCGTCCCCACCTGACTCGGCCCTCTCCACGCCGTCCCCATGCAAAACCTCGTGCTCCCCTGTTCTTTCGCCCTACGCGCCGCCTCGATCACCTCATCCACGCCCATCAATTTCTCCGCCTTCAATTTCGTCTCTCCCTTCCACGACGAGCTCTGCGCGCAGTAATTACACGTCTCCGGGCACCCGCCCGTTTTAATGCTCAGCAGCGTGCACCGCTGCACCTGCCTCGGGTCGTGATGCATCCGGTGCACTCTCGCCGCGTCGTGCACGAGCTCGAGCAGCGGTCTGGCGTACATCGCGCGCACCTCTTCTTTGCGCCAATCGGTGTACACCGCGCCGAGCTCACGCGTGGGCGTCGCCGTCTGCGACATCGCGGCGGAGCTGTGATCTCTCAGCGCGTTCGCGCTCGCGACGACGCGCCCGTCCGCGCACGCGCGAGAGAGAGACGCGCGCGAGAGCGCGCGAGAGACGCGGGCGACGACGGACATCGCGCGCGCGTCGAGGGGCGGCGTGTGCGGACGCCGGCGCGGTCAACCCGCTCATGATGACCGAAACCCTCTTCCGGGACATACTGTCTGGCCATACGGTAGGGTTTATAACATATCGTTTAGCCCGCGCCCGACGCCGCGCCCGAGGCCGAGTGCGCCGCGCCCGCGTCGAGGGCGTGGGTCGTCCTCCGCGGACCCCGCGCTCGAGGCGCGCGCGATGTTCGTCGAGCGCGACGGACGATGGACGCGAACACCGAGCGAACATTTTAAAGATTGTGGCTATTGCACCAAGACGACGATCGCCGACGTCCGAGGCGCGATCGAGGGACGGACGCATCGATTGGCGGTGACGTCGAAGGATTTAAACCCCGAGGACGCGGACGAGGGATCGGCGGTGGATGCGACGGAGGTGGATCCGTACTTTTTCGACGACGGGTACACGTTGGCGGCGGCGACGGGCTTCGCGCGCGTGTGGGAGGGCGCGGAGACGTTGTCGAGGTTTTTGCAGACGGAGAAGGGAAGGTTAGACCCTGGAGTGCGCGTGGTTGAGCTCGGCGCCGGTGTGGGTGCGTGTGGGTTGATCGCCGCGTGCGGCGGCGCGCACGTGGCGTTGACGGATGTCGCGCCGGTGGTGGAGGACGTCGTGCGAAGGAACATCGCGCAAAACGCGCTCGGAGAGGCGACGGAGCGCGCGGCGTGGCCGAATGCGTTTCGGGTCGGTTGTGGGAGCGCGACGCGGGCGACACTGGACTGGACGAGTCCGATTCCGGATCGACCGTTCGGCGCGCTCGACGCGTCGTCGCTGTACGACGCGGACGTCTTAATCGCGGCTGAGTGCGTGTGGTTGCGAGATCTCGTCGCGCCGTTCGTCGACACCGCGTCGACTTTACTGAAAGGTGGGGTCGGGAAGCTCATCCTGTGCGTTCGCGATAGGAGCACGAGCGACGATCCGGCGAGCGGTAAGGCTTTCGCGCACACGAGCGAAGTCATCCGAGCGTTCACGACCGCGGGGTGCGTCGTCGAAGAGCTGCACCGCGAGGACTCTCGAGAAGATTTCGGGAAAGAGATTTTCATTTTTAGCGTTCGCGCCGCCGCTCGTCGAGAGCGGGACGAGGCGTCGTGATACTGGAACGTTGTAGTAACATGTTGTACGAGCTAGTCTCTCTTGACGAAAATGCTACGCAAGAGGTCCAAGTTGGCGAGCTCCTTGGTGTCGTCCACGAACGTGGGATTTTCCACAGCCTTTTGTTTGAACGTGCGTAGAATTCTCTTGCGCTCTCGATTATCCTCTTCCTCCTTCTCGCGATGATACCTCGCCAGAGCTGCCTCCTCTGTCTCGTCGTCTTCGGCGCCTTCCGCGGCGCGTCTCTTGGCGCGTCGCTCCTTCATCGCCTCCAACGCCTTCGCTTGATCCATCTTCGCCAAAAAGAAATCCCGCTCCTTCTTCGCCACCGAGAGCTCGAGCTGCATCTTCTTCTCCTTCAGCGCCTTTTGATACTCCATCTCCTCCGTGAGGTTATCCCACTTGAATTTCGGCAGGTATCGCACGTTCCACAAATCATAATAATGCGCGCTCCTTCGTTTCCCCCCGACCTCTCTCCCGTGCAGCGCGCTCGCCGCCTTTTTCGCCTTTTTCTTATCCTTAAACTCCACCCATCCCTCGATGAACTTCTTCCCGGTGTTCCCTCCAGCCTTTTTCCGTCGCGCCCGCGCGTTCGGATCCTCCGGCGTCAGGTACATTCGATCCGTCTCCCCGAACGCCTCCAACGCCTGTCGCAGTCGCATCGGTTTCATAAACGGCGGTATCGTTTCCCCAGGTACACCACGCCGCGGTTCGCTCGGTCCGCGCGCGCGCGCTCGACCGCATCCGCGTCGATTATTCGTTCATTCGATCGTCCAGCCGCCGCCTCGCCGTTCCCTCTCGCATCACCCGTGACGCGCGTCGACGCCGCCCCATCGCCCGAGGCGCGCCCCATCGCCCGCGCGCGTCCACCCGTGACCCACACGCGCGCGCGTGCGCGACGACGGGCGTCGCGCGCGCGTCGACGTCGCGCAATGCGGTCACCGCGGCGCGAAGACGCGCGCGTACGCGGCGCGCGACGCGTGCACGACGCCCACGCCCGCGCCCACCGACGCCACGATCGCGACGATGAGAAACAATCGCCATCGGTGCACGAGCCGTCGTCCGAGGACGTCGACCGTCGGAAGCGCGCGCGCGCGGAACCGACGCTCCATGTCGTCGACGAAGGCTTCGAGCGCATCCGGGTTCGGCGCCAGACGCTGCATCATGCTCAGCGCGGGCACGCACGCCGGGAGATCCTCGTCGAGCATGTCCATGATTCTGTGCACGCACCGTCGCTCGCGCGCGCGCGCGGCGTCGCTTGGAGGGGTGACGCGCGCGCGCGGCGTTCGTAAATCACCCTCCAAGTCGCACGCCGCGCGTCGCCACGGCGCGTCGGGCTCCGGGACGTACCCCCCGTTCGCGTCCACGTCGCCGTCTCGCCACGCCCGCATCATCGCGCGATTTAACCGTCGAATCGCCGTCTCCTCCGCGCTCGCCACCGCGCCGACGTCGTCCACGATGACGTCTGGACCCCCATCCATGGGCGCGCGCACATCCGTCGCGCTCAACACCCGTCCCCGGCGCCATCCACCGCGCGCGAACGCCGAGATCACGGGCGGGACGAACCCAAAGCCGTACGCCTCGCTCCCCGTGAGCGATTCCATGGTCGCCATCGCGCGCGGCGTCGACGAACGCGGGCGTGGCGCGAGACCGCGAGCGTTACATTTGGCGTTTTTTTTCCAACACCCGCCCCGTCCCGCCGGTCGCCTGTCGCGACCCCGCGCTCGGGGCGACGACCACGCGCGTCCCGAGGGGTGGACGGCGCGCCGCGCACGCGAGATACCGCACCGGGCATCGACGCGGCGTCCGCGCCGGTGCCGTCGTCTCGGCTTTCACGGCGCGCAAACTTTGGCCGAGTCGTGTTCGTGACTTTTCCAACACTTTGGCGGCGCCGATGTCGTCACGTCGCGACGCGATGGGACCGCGCGCGTTCGCGCTCGCGCTCGCGCTCGTCGCGACCGCCGTCGTGGGCGCGCGCGCGATCGCGCCGGCGACGCGCGTGGACGGATTGCGACGAGCGAGCGTCGCGCGCGCGCTCGGCGGGGCGCGAGGAGATTTTGAAATCAACGACGACGTGGAGGACGCCGAGCGATGGTTCGATCAGACGCTCGATCACTTCGATCACGTCGATCGCAGACGCTGGTCGCAGCGGTACTTTGTGAACGAAGGATTCGTTGACAAGATTGAGGCGTCGACGCCGGTGTTCGTGTGCGTGGGGGGGGAAGGGCCGGCGTTGACCGCGCGCGCGGTGCTCGACGGCGGAACGCACTGCGGGACGATGATCGACTTGGCGAAGAAGCACCGAGGGATCGCGCTCGCGCTGGAACATCGATTTTACGGCGCGAGTCAACCCACGGGTGATCTCTCGAGGGAGTCGCTGCGATATTTGACCTCGGCGCAGGCGCTGGAGGACGTCGTGGCGTTCGTGAAGTACGTCGCGGACGCGTACGGGTTACGGACGACGCCGTCGGACGACGGGAGGAACGGCTCGTATAGTCGAGTGATCGCGTTCGGGGGGAGTTATCCGGGAATGCTCGCCGCGTGGTCGCGGGTGAAGTATCCGCACGCGATTCACGCCGCGGTGGCGAGCTCGGCGCCGATCCGAGCCGAGCTGGATATGCGCGGATACTACGACGTCGTCGGGAAGGCGCTGCGCGAAAAAGACGTCGGTGGAAGCGATGCGTGTTTCGATGCCGTCTCCGAGACTTTCGAGTCTGAGTTGAACGAAGCGTTAAAGACGCCCGAGGGACGACGCGCGCTCGAGACGCGGTTCAACGTGTGCGGCGATGCAGCGCTCGATCAGTTTGGCGGTCGAGACGGATTCGCCGACGTCTTGCGAGCGATGTTTCCGGCGCAAAACAACGATCCGTCGTGTGAGATGGAAGACACGTCGTGCTTGAACATCGCAAAGGCGTGCACGATGATGACGCGCGCGGAAACCGGGAAGAGGCTGGACGCGTTGGCGAGCGTCGTGAAAGTCGTCTTTGGAAGTTCGTGCGTCTCGCTCGACGGCGCCGCGTACATGCGCGAGCTCATGTCCGAGACACCGAATCCGCTCGGTGAGGGCGAGCGTCAGTGGACGTGGCAGACGTGCACGGAGTTCGCGTTCTTTCAGACGTGCGAGAAAGATTCGGGTTGTCCCTTTAAACTCGATCCGCCGACAATGCCGTTGTCGTCCTATCAGTGGATCTGCGCGCAAGTCTTCGGCGTGAGCGCTGAGCAAACGAAGAACGCGGTCGAGCGATCGAACGCGCGCTACGGTGGAATCACTCCGGGTGGGACGCGAATTTTGTTCCCGTCTGGTTCGGTCGATCCATGGATCGCGAACAGTTTCGTCTCGAACACGTTCTCGCCCAAATGGGAGCCCGCGTTCGTCGTTCCCGGCGCCTCGCATCACGCGTGGACGCACCCGCCCAAGGATACCGATTCCGCGGCCGTCGTCCAGGCGCGCGCGCGAATCGAGAAACAAGTTGAAAAGTGGATGAACCAAGGACCGATGACGCTCGATTCAGCGCGTGATCGTCTTCGCGTTGGCCGCGTGTAAAAAGATGAATGTAAATAATGCCGTTACAAAAAGAATGAAGACGCGAGCTTACGGCGCGTCGCCTCAGCGAGCGGATCTCCCGGAGCGCACGCCCCGACGAGTTTAACGACTAAGTTTTTCCCGTCTTCTCGGCTCGAGCCGAAAGCGGGCTTGACGCTTCGCAACGCGACCTCGCACGCGCCCGCCATGTCGCCCTTTGCGTAGAGCGCGAGCGCGTACGCCCGAACGGAGGCAAACTCTTTCGGCGAATCCTCGTGCGCCTTTCGACGCGCGTCGACGTCATCGATGCCTTCAATCGTCGCGATATCATCCGCGATGTCCACGCGCGCCTCCGCGGCGGCTAACTCTTTCGGTTCCGGGAATCCATTCACGAGCGCTCGTCCGTGAGCGATGAGCTCTCGAGCCGCCGCGAGATCCGCCGGATCCCCCCTGAGCGCCAACATCGCGCTCGCCGCGAACGCGCGACTCTTCAACTCCGGTCCCACACTTCTATCGTTGACAACGTTCGAAAGCGCGCTCGTCAGCCGCTCTCGCGTCGCGGCGTCTCCCAGAACTCCGCATCCGCCGCCGAACGTCGCCTCCAGCGCCGCCGCCGTCGCCCCCTCTGCATCTTCCACATCCGCCCCTTTCGCGTCGTCATCGGCGCCATCCTCACCGTCGTCGCTTCCCAAATCCTTCACTAAATTATCGACAAACTTCACGACGTCCGACTCCGGGATCGCGCCGCGAAACTGATCGACGAAGCGTCCGCGCGACATGCCCATCACCGTCGGCAAAGAACTGATTCGCAACTGCTCCATCACCGGCGCGAGCTCCTGCGCGTCCGCGTTCAGCTTCACCAGCGCCGCTTTCGGCCAGTGCGCTTTCACCGCGCGCTCGAGCGCGGGCGCGAGCGTCTTACACGGCCCGCACCAGTCGGCGTAGAAATCAAAAACAATGGCTTGGACGTGTGACCTCGGAACGACGCCGTCGAGCTCGCTCGGGGTCTTGATCTCGAGCACCGCTGGGAGAGGGGCATCGGCATCGTTCGTGGCGAGTCGGACGAAGCGATGGAGGCGCGGGCGGGCGACGGCGTGCGCGCGCTTGCACGCGCGGGCGAGCATGGGTGAAAAAGCGCGCGTCGCAAAGTGAGGCGCGGGGAGTGAGAGATGATTGGATTCGTTCATTACATCCCGCCCATGCCCTTCATCATCGATTGTAAACGACTCGGGTCCATGCCGTCGAATTGTTTCATCATGTTCTGCAAACCTCCGGCGCCGCCCATCATGCGGAGCATGTCCGGAGGTAACGCGTTGGCCATTTGGGCCATCTGTTGTTGCATCTGCTGGGGGTTCCCGCGTCCGCGGGCGTTCCCGGATGGGAACTTCATACCCTTCATCTTACCCATCATCTTCCCGAGACGCTTGTGCTCTTCCAGCAGGGTGATCATCTCGTGAGGCGAGCGACCGGCGCCGCGGGCGACGCGCTCCATGCGCTTGGCGTCGAAAATCTTTGAGTTCGGCGCGTCCAGCTCGGCGTCCGTCATGGAGTCCATGAGAACCATCATCCATTTCATGCGCTTCGTTCCCTCTTGCTCCGAACCCTTGGGCATCATGTCCGCCATCCCCGGAACCATGCTCATGAGTGACGAGATGGGACCCATGTTTTGTAGGTTTTGAAACTGCTCGTAGAGCAGGCGCATGGTGAACGTGCCGCTTCCGATCGCGTCGGCGAGCCGCTCCGCGCTCTCTTCCGGGACGATCTCTGTCATTTTTTCCACCAAACCCTTCATATCGCCCATCCCTAGAAGTTTACTCACGAACGAGTTGGCGTCGAACGGTTCCATCTCGCCGATGTGCTCTCCGGTACCGATGAATAAAATCGGCGCCTTGGTCTCGCTCACGGCTGAGATCGCGCCACCGCCCTTGGCGTGACCGTCGAGCTTGGTCATGATCACCCCACCGACGTCCACCGTGCTCGCGAACGCGTTCGCTTGATCCGCAGCGGATTGACCGATGGAGGAGTCCATGACAAAAATCGTCATGGTGGGATCGGTGACGTTCGCTATCTCTCGCATCTCCTCAAACAAAGCCTCCTCTTGCCTGTGCCTACCCGAGGTATCGACGATGATGAGATCCATCTTCTCCTCCTCAAACCGCCGCACCCCAGCCTCGGCGATCTTCGCCGGATCGCTCTCGGTGTACGAGCCGTAGAATGGAATCTTCGCCTTTGTCGCGTTTTGCTTCAACTGGTCAAACGCCCCGGCGCGAAACGTATCCGCGCACACCAGCGCCGCCTTGAACCCCTTCCTCGCGTAGTAATGCGCGAATTTCGTGCACGTCGTCGTCTTCCCCGCCCCCTGTAAACCGACAAACATCACCACGTTTCGCTTCCCCTTCTTCGGCGCCCATCGCGGCGCGTTACCCTCGCCTCGTCGTCCGCCCTCGCGCCCTCGCTTCCCACCTCTCTTCTCCCCCCGGTGGTGGTGCGACGTTTTCAACAGTGCGTCGAACTCCTCGACGCCGGGTTTGATGCGGTGGGGATAAACGCGGTGAACATGTTCATGGAGGGGCACGAGCACACGGTGAAGGTCAATCAGTCGCACGCGTGGCACTACAGCGGTAATTTTTGGTGGGCCTCGACAGCTCACATGGCTCGGCTTCCCTT